AAATACCCATAATTACCAAATCTATTGAGACAGAAAATGGATGCTTAGGATTGGGGAGGGCCAGGGAAATGAGAGACTGAGGAGGTTACAGTTAAAAGTACAGTGTTTCTTTCTGAGGTGATGAAAATGTTCTAAAATTCACTGTGGTGATCTGTGAAAGTACTAAAATCACTGAGTTGTACATTTTAGTAGGTGAATTGGATGGTATATGAATTATATCTCAGTAAAGCAGTTTTGAAAAAGTCCTTCAAATTTTATTAAACCAAACCCAGCTATACCAGTATCTGGAGATAGAGATAGAGATAGAGAAAGAAAGGAAGAAAGAAAAAAGAAAGAAGGAAGGAAGGAAGGAAGGAAGGAAAAGAAAGAAAAAAAGAAAGAAAGAAAAAGAGGAAAAGAAAAATCATTACTGAGTATGAATTTTCTCTACTATGCAAGGTTGATATTTTAATATCAATGTAATTCACCATATTACCAGAATAAAGGGGAAAACCCATACAATCATCGCAGTAGATACAGAAAAGGCCTTCGACAGAATTCAATACCCATCTGTAATAAAAACTCCCAGTATATTAGGAATAGATGGTAACTTCCTCAACCTCATAAAGGATATAAATGAAAGGCTCATAGGTGACATCACACTTAATGGCAAAAAAATTGAAAATTATGCAAGAATGTCTGCCCTCACTACTCTTATTCAACATTCTATTGGAGATACTAGCCAGTGCAATAAGGCAAGAGGGAAAAAAGGCATTGAAATTGGTGAGGAAGATCTAATGCTACTTTTGTTTCCAGAAGACATGATGGTGTTCATGGAAAACCCTGAGGCATCTACAACAAGTAGCTAGTAGAATTAAGAAGTAAATCTAGGAAGGTCAAAAGATACAAGGGGCAGGGGCACCTGAGTAGCTCAGTCGGTAGAGCATGAGACTCTTGACTTGAGGGTTGTAAGTTCAAGCCCCACATAGGGTGTAGAGATATACTTAAAATCTTTTTAAAAAAAGATACAAGGATCAATATACAAAAATCAATTATGTTTCTATGTACTAGCAATGGACAATATGATATTAAATACTTTTAATACAATTTACAATAGCATCAAAAATATTAAATACTTAGGGATAAATTTAACAAAAAATGTATTATGACCTACTCATTGAAAATTATAACACATTGCTAAAAGATATTAAGGAAGACCTATTAAATGAAGAGATACAATAATTATGGATTAGAAGATACAATATTGTTAATGTCATTCTCTCCAAATTTAATCTATATATTCAACACATTTTCATTCAAAATCCCAGCACCCTTTTTTTGTAGAAATTATCAAGCTGATTTTAAAAGGAGTGGGATTAGCCAAAATAATTTTGAAAAACATAAATAACAACACTGGAAGAATTATATTACCTGATTTTAAGACTTAATATAAAGATACAGTAATCAAGACAGTGTGGTATTTGTGAAAGTATAGACACAGAGATCAATGGAACAGAACAAAATCCAAAAGTGGATTCACACATAATAAATAGATTTTTTTTAAACAAAGATGTTTAGGGGGCATCTGGGTGGCTCAGTTGGTTGAGTGCCCAACTCTAGACTTTAGCTCAGGTCTTGATCTCACGGTCATGAGTTCAAGCCCCGCTTCAGGCTCCAAGCTGGGTGTGGAGCCTACTTTAACAAAAAAAAAAAAAGAAAGAAAGAAAGAAAAAACGAAGGTGATTACAGTAATTTCTAGGAAAAAGATAGCCTTTTCAACAAATTATACTGGGGAAACTAGATATCCATATAGAAAATAATATACCTCAACCCTTAGTTTATGCCATACATGTCAACTTGAAATGGATTTTATCTAAATGTAAAAACTAAAACTATAAAAGGCCCAGAAGAAACACAGGAAAAAAACCTGTGACCTTGGGGATAGGCAAAGATTTCTACCTAGAGCAAAAATATTTCTGATCTTTGAAAGAAATTGATAAACTGAACTTTATCAAAACTAAAAACTATTTTTCAAAAGATAACATTAAGAAAGTGAAAAGGCAAGAGTGCCTGGGTGGCTCAGTCAGTTAAGCATCTGCCTTCAGCTCAGGTCATGATCCTGGGGTCCTGGGATCAAGCCCCGTGTCTGGCTCCCTGCTCAGCGGGGAGTCTGCTTCTCCCTCTCCCTCTGCCGCTCACCCTGCTTGTGCTCTTCTACTCTCTAATTAATAAATAAAATCTTAAAAACAAAACAAAACAATTTTTCAAAAGATACCATTAAGAAAATGAAAAGGCAGGAGCGTCTGGGTGGCTCAGTCAGTTAAGCGTCCAACTCTTGTTGAATTCGGCTCAGGTCATGATCTGAGGGTCCTAGGATAGAGTCCCACTGTGCTCAGAAGGGAGTCTGCTTGAGATTCTCTCCTCTCCTTCTGCCCCTCCCCCCATTAGCGTGTTCTCTCTCAAAAAAACAAATCTTAAAAAAAACAAAGAAAATGAAAAGGCAAACCACAGACTGGAAGAAAATATTTCCAATATGTATCTCATAAAGGATTGGTATCCATTACACATAAAGAGATCCTGCAACTCCGTAAGACTTTAAAAAGCACAATTTAAAATGGGTATTTGAAGACACAATTCACAAAGATAGATCAGTGGTCAATAAACACATGAAAACACACTCAACATCTTGTCAGCAGGGAAATGTAAACTAATACCACAAGATAGCTCTATACACCCATTAAAATGGCTGAAATTAAAAAGACTGACAATACCAAGTGTTGATGAGTCCGTGGAGCAATTTTTACCCTTTACGTTGCTGATGAAAAATGGTACAACCACTTCAGAAAGCTCTGTAGCAGTTTCCTGTAATGTTACACACACCCTTACTATATATGCATATATGCCCTACACTGGATGAAATGATTTGATGTTCTTATAAGTATGTGCCTATGTCTGAATCTTGGTTCTACCCACTTGCTATCTTTATTACCTTGGACAAACTTCTTTAGTTTCCACACATATACAACAGGAATAATAATAGCACCTACACCTAAAATAGTACCTACACCTACAACATAACATTGTTGTGGAAATTAGTTAATGCATGTAAATTACCTAGTAACAATGCCTAGCACATGTAAATACTCAATAAACAGTAACTTCTGTGATGACTCTGAATCATACTCATTCATATTTAACATGCCTGACACAGTTATCAGGAAATGTAATTCCTCCAAGTTGTTATTGATGTTTTTAAAAATTATTTTGACTAATCTCACTCCTTTGCACTTCCATGTAAGGTTTAAAATCAGCTTGGTAATTTCTACAAAAAAAAGCATGCTGGGATTTTGAATGAAAATATGTTGAATACATAGATTAAATATGGGGAAAATACACATATTAATTACCTTATTGTGTGAGAAAAATTTTTTCCCTTTAATTTCCTGTGATTCCATGATCAGAACTGCCTATATTTTTTTTAAAGATTTATCTTTTAGAGACTGAGAGAGCGTGTGCATAAGCGACAGGAGGGGCAGAGGGAGAGGGAGAGACTCCCCGTTGAGCACGGAGCCCAATGTGGGGCTCAAACTCATGAGCCTGAGATCATGACCTGAGGCGAAATCAAGAGTCGGACGTTCAACCTACCGAGCCACCCAGATACCCCTAGAGCTGCCTAAATTTTGAATTTTTATTATAATGGAAGTTGGACAGTAGGAATCATAAAGGTTGATAAATCTAGGGATAAACAAATTGGGGTCCATAAAGATTAAATTATATGCTTCAGCTAGTAGGATCAGAACGAGACTCAAGACATTCTCTTGATCTAGTCTCTCAATCTTGGTACCCCGCTAAAACCCTTTTAAACCCTTCTCAGAGGGGACTCTCTAGTTAACAGAATGAAAACAAATGACTATAATATATAATATTAATAATATTAAGATTTCACAGCTTAACCAGGACAGTTCTGAAAGCTACGGACACAAGTTCCTAAAGTTGGTGCACAAGTCCTCCTTTGTCCATTCCTGAGTGGTTCAACTACATAAAGTTACTAATCATCAGTTAACTAGAAAATTCAATTAATCAGAGCACCTCATCCCCACTGGCAAAAGATGGGGTCTCTAAAACTGAAATAATGTGTTTGAGCAGTGATGAGGAAAACTCTCCTACCCACAAAATCACTGGCTGTTCTTCAGAGAGCGTTTGGTTTTACTAACTCTGGACTCTATCAGTGATTCTCAATGCCACCTGCACATAGGAATCATCTGGAGGAACTTCTGTGGAACTTTTGTGGAAATGTCTGGGGGTGGGGCCAGGCTTGAGAACCACTGCCCTAGCTCACCCAGGGAGACCTCCAATTTTATCCAGCTGGCAGCTCTACCAGTGCGATTCTCTATTTAACCAGCAACCTTTACAAACGGAAATCATCAGTTGTGGGGTAAGAAGGGCCAAAAGGGTTATGAAACCCAGAGCAATACAAAAGCACCAGTTCCCCAAAAGGCCAAAGACCAGGGTACTGTGGCTGCCCACGCCACTCAGAAGTCTGAGTCATCTCATGAGCCTGACACCATGGCCACCGATGGACATTTACAAGAACTTCTACAAAGACTACTTCCCAAATCAAAAGGTGGCCTCAGGGTGACCCCTTATTCCCATCCTTCCCTTTATACGAGCACCCAGACTGTTGAATTATCCAACAATCTAGATTATTTGGATTATTCATCACTGATTTATAGGAAGGAATATGGGAGGCTTTAAGAAGTGGTATTCAGAATTCACCTCGAAGGGCTTTCCTAGAAAAGATGCCTTTAAAAAACAAGCTGTTAAGATTTGTGGTTAACTCACCAACACTTCACCAGAGCGTGCTACCCAGCTACTGAGGTGAAAATCAAAGTGAGATTTATTTCCAAGGAATAAAGACCAAAAGACTGCCTTCATAGCTCTAAACCTAGTCACTTACTTTGGGTTTAACTCCAGAAAGGGGAGGACTAACACCTAAAAAGCTGGAAACAAAGACACATACACTTCCAGGCGTGGATTTTTATTTTCACAAAGAGACAACAATGCCTTCCCACATACAAGTATTTACAAAACCCAACTGATTCACCAAGCTAGAACCTGGGTTTTTTCCAGTTCTCAACATAGTTGGGAACATGGAAACATTTGTACCCACACAATTCCCAGAGATGGAATTTATCCACCGAACAGTGTAGATTAACCTAATAAAAGTGCACTTACCTGCACAACTCAGTCTAAAAACCTCAGTGATACAAACCTCGTGACCAAGGTTTCATTAATCTATTTGGTTTCATACCATGCAAACCCGAACAAGTGCGCTACTACACTAACCTGAAAATCGGCTCTCATTTTACAATTAAAAAGGTTCTCAACGCTTTAGCAACTATACAGAATATGAAGGTTTATTTCAAAAAAGAGTACATTTTTTTTAGACCAGGATACACAGATGCACTTAATGTAACAGTACCTTCTGCAAAAATAGGTTACATAATACTCAGAAATGCAAGGAACAATCTTATTCTCTAAAAATTAGACAGCAGACTTTTTTTAAGCTTAGACAGCCTACAAAATGGAGGCTGAAAACGCTTGGTGACAAGAAACTCCAGAGCCTGACACCACAGAGCTAATGCTGCAAATGAAACTACTACCACACAGCTGCAAACTACTCTTTATATTCACACAGCGTTAAACAAAATGGTTTTGATTCCATCTTTTCAAATGTGTCTCGGTGCTGCAAGAAAAAAAGTTGAATGATACACAAAACTAGTAAAAGTTACAACGGAACTATTTAAACATCTTCTCCAAAATTGAGAAAAGCAATCATGTTAAATTTTAAAAAAAGAGAAAAAAAGAAAAGTCTGACAGAACTCTCAAGCAAGTCAGAGGTCCTCTTCATAAGTAGTCAAGTAAAGTTTACAGGAGATTTCAATAAATTATCTTGAAACCATGGCAGAGAGCTAATTTTCAGAATCGTCGTGGAGGTCCACCCTTAAATGGCTTAAATCCGGAGCCACTTCCTCTTGGCATGGAATTGCCACTGATTTGTACAATTCTATTAATTGGGGATGCATTACTGAAAAAGGTTTAAAAGAAAAAATTGTCAAGAACAAAAAAATAAATTACAGCTAATACCTATTAAGTGTTTATCATTTATCAGGCACTGTTCTTTGTACTTTACCCATATTAAATAACTGACTCTTTTCAACAGTTCTGTGAGGTATGGACCATTACTAATCCCACTTTCCTGATGAAGAAACTGGGATCTGGAGGTTAAGTAACTTGCCCAAGATCACGGCTAATAAATGATGGAACAAGGATTTGAACTTGGGCACTCTCACTTCAAAGTCTCTGCCTCACAGTAAGCCAATTAATGGGATGCACATGAATGGACTGAAGCAGTGGCTCTCAGAGTGTGATCCCCAGATCAGCAGCATCGGTATCTCCTAGGAACTTGAACCTCTGAGCTAGAGGACATCATCACAGAATTATTTTTGGATTTCTTTTGGAGGAGGATGGATTTTTTATACGTGTAATGGCAACGTAGTAGGTACTAAGGAGCGGCACGGGAAAAAAGACCCACCAAAACACCCTACAACCAAATTGGGAGACAAAAACCCATGGTGAAACAGTTTAAGTAGAATAAGATCAGATTACATAAAGGTTCGAATGCCTGACTGAGGATGGCAGGTTAGATCTGTGACCAGAGAGGCGGCTCATTGCTTTGGAGCAAATAATGGTATAACAAAACAGTTCTAAGAGTTAAACTTATAAATAGTGTGAGTAAGAGAAGGTAAAAGACTAATCTGAGAAGCTGAAATGAGAAAGAAGGCATAGCTATTACAATTATTTTTTAAAAATGGAACCACATTTAGAAATTTTTGCTAGGGATGGAAGAAGATAAAAGATGAGGCCCAGTCTGGGTGAACAAGATGCACAGTGGCACTGGCAAATTAAACGAAGCTGGAGGCAACATGTGGAAGATGAAGGTTTGAAACAGGAGAGGAATGAGTTTGCCTGTGACCCTGAATTTATGGAGACGGCAAAACATTTACATAAAGATCACAATATAGAGCTAAATATCAAAAGCAGTATCTGAAGTTCAACCATCTGAAGGAGCCAGCAAAGGAAATCAAAAGAGCAGAAAGAAAAGTCTGATGCATTAGAAAACAGAGGAGTATCCCCCCGAAAAAGAAAAGCCACAGTGAGCAATAGTGCTTAACCACCAAGGACACTGAGAGCTCAGAAAATAAAGGAATATAAATATATCTAGAAAAAAGGCATTGGTAACCTTTGAAGCCAAAGGTGGAATGAGTGCCAAGGCCGTGCAGACACAGATATAATAAACACTCACTCACTCCAGTCTGACGGTGGAACTGACCAGCACAGCAGTCAGCTGGATCAGCGAGCCCGCCCCGCTTCTAAGACAGGGGAATGGGAAAGACAGAAGGGCACGGAAGAGAAGGGGAGACCAGACTCGCCAGCTGAGGGGCCACGATGGATGCTGGTGCACAAGAGAAAGCTCACCTCTGAGGATACGAACAGGCTCTGGGATAGTTAAATGTGCAACAGTTTTGCTAGAGCTATTGGAAAAGGGAGGGAGCAGAACGTACTTTCAGTCTCCTCTTCCTTTCTAGGACTCCTTTCTACGACTTTTAGGAGTGACAGGTAGTGAACAAGATGACGGTGCAGACGTGAAGTTAGTGCTCTTTATCTACTGGATTATGACACACACACACACATACCTGTATCTCAACCCATGGGGCAGAATGCCAATCAGTGAACTTACAATGAGGAATATAAACTAACAAATTAACATCCGCTGCCCTGCATATAATCTCCGGGAGATCCGGAGTTAACATGGGGAAATGTGTAGGCTAAGCTAGGACTGTGACCGCTAGTTGCCATTCAATCTCTCAGAAACTATCCTGCCCTTTAAGGAAAGGATAAAGGTTTGGATGAATGCCGGCAGAAAAGTCTTAACCGGGTACTTACCTCGCGTGTTGGGTTATCATCCCTGCTGCTGTCCGGCCATCACCCATCCGCCTTGCATCATGATAGCCGGGCCCTTGAGAAGGTGGACCATGCCACTCTTTCCTTGGTCCACTTGTGTCCCGTCCGTGGCGTTCAACCACATGTCGTTCCTCAGGGTAGTGCTAAAGAATCACATATTAAAAGAAAAGTCACAACACCCGCAGCCTCATGCCGACTCACTTATGCTGGTGTGCTCTTAAGTGTCCGAAACAAATCAATAAGGTGTTTGAGAAGAAAAGGGGGTGAATAATACCAGAGCACATGCAAAGAGTTTCCAGCTTTTTTGTACTGAGAAGCTGCTCAGGCTTCAGGGCAGGGTATGGGGGCAATGTAATTTCTATTTCCGTAGCTTTCAGCATGCACGTACTTTTTGACCCTCGAGTATTTCTAGATCCATATATGATGCCTGGATGGATAGATGTGTAAGAAGGCACAGTGAGGGGTCAAAACAGTACAACGAAGCAGGGTAGGGTGTAGGATCAACGTGCAAACAGCATACAGACACGGTGGTTGTCGTCCTATTTCACACAGTACTCATTATTGCTACGATTCTTACAAGGTCTTACATACATGACTATGAAAAACAGAGTGAATGAACCTAAGGAAACAAAGGCCATAGAACTAAAGATCCAAGGAAAGCAGAGTCAGAAGTGATGACACTTAGTCTACAGAAAATAAAGCTGAAGGTACTGTACAGAGATATAATATTGGCAAAACAATTTATATTAGGAAAAACAGCATTTTCAAGGGAGGAACAGGATCTCCTCCTCGGGATACCTTTTCTAAGTGGATATCGGAATGCAGGGGCCAGTCTATGAGTTTTTACTCTGACTAAGGCAGAGTATCTGGATTACAGACCCCGTCTTAAAAGTTCTGCTCATGGGGGGTGCCTGGCTGGCTCAGTCGTGGAGGGTCTGCCTTCAGCTCAGGTCATGATCCCAGGGTCCTGGGATCGAGCCCCACATCGGGCTCTCTGCTCAGAGGGAAACCTGCTTCTCCCTCTCCCACTCCCCCTGCTTGTGTTCCCTCTCTCGCTGCATCTCTCTCTGTCAAATAAGTAAATAAAGTCTTAAAAAAAAAAAAAAAGAATTTCAGGGCTAGCATCCTACTTCTTTGGACTATTAATGTTTTTGTTTTTGTCTTAAGATTTATTTATTTGTTTGACAGAGAGAGACACAGCGAGAGAGGGAACACAAGCAGGGGGAGTGGGAGAGGGAGAAGCAGGCTTCCCGCCGAGCAGGAGCCCGATGAGGGACTCAATCCCAGGACCCTGGGATCATGACCTGAGCCGAAGGCAGACGCTTAACGACTGAGCCACCCAGGCGCCCCTAGACTATTAATGCTCAATTGTTGACAGTAAAATATGAAAAACATCAAGATCTTTTATAAGAACCTCGTCTCCCAATCGTTCCACTCTAACTAATAGAGGCCACATCAAAATGGTAAATCCTCGGAATTTATTCCTGAAGAGGTGAGAATACATCCTCAAGCATTTACCTGTGTTCCACTTCCTCGGTCCGTGATCACACCTCTGTCTCCCTCTCTGTTCCCGTAGCCCGAAGCATTACTGCGACTGCCAGGGGGAGCCCCTCTCACGCTGTGTCCTGATACTTCCCTCCCAGATCGTTCCGGCCTTTCAACTCTGTTAAACAAAACCCAAAGACATCGACAATCAAAACTTTATGACACCTTTTTGTCCTTAAACCCAAATGCGTTCTATGCCACCGTCTGGGCCCTGGCAACTACTCAAGATACCTTGTTTCCCGTTTGTCGGAGGACATGCTGCTGTCACTTTTCCAGGTGGTTGGTCTGGATGGATTGGGCCCCGCTTCTCGAGGATGTCTAGGGTGAGTGATATCAGGCCTGTCATGGATGATCACGGTTCTCCTCTCGTCTCGTTCTCCCCGGACTTCTCGCCTGTCCGTTTCTCTAAGTTCATTTCTTGGTGGTGGAGGTTCATTTCTTCTGGAATCACTGAAATTTTTGGGATACCTTTCAAAACCCGGATCTTCTCTTCGTGCAGCAGGACGTGTTTTTTTCCCTTCACTTTGACCAACAAAGCGTTCTCGCCTATTGATCATTGAGAACAAAGAACAGAAGTCCTGAGATGTACTTACTTGGCCTTATTCTTAATTGTACTTGCATAACTTACAAAAATCACAGCTTCTTTAAAAATTAACTGAAGGCAAAGCCACCAAAAAAGCCACAACCTTGATTATAATAACTTATATTCTAAATGTCTGGCATGAAGATTGTTGTTTAGCATCTGGGAGGAATTAACATCAAACACTCAAGTGACTACCGACCTGAAGGATATTCTAGTGTTCTAAACAGTTGAGGCACATCCAAAGCTAACAGTATTCCCACCTAGTTTTAAACAAGGTTAAGAAGATAAAGCCAATCTACTTAACCTTGTTACGGTGGCCTATTAAACTAATTTTTTTCCAAAGTCTATTTATTTAAGCAATCTCTACACCTGACGTGGGGCTCGAACTCATGACCCCAAAATTAAGAGTCTCATGCTCTACCGAATGAGCCAGCCAGATGCCCCAAACTAATTTTGTTTTTTTGTTTTTTTTTTTAAGATTTTATTTATTTATCTGAGAAAGCGAGAATGAGAGAGAGTACATGAGAGGGGGGAGGGTCAGAGGGAGAAGCAGGCTCCTCGCCGAGCAGGGAGCCCGATGCGGGACTCGATCCCGGGACTCCAGGATCATGACCTGAGCCGAAGGCAGTCGCTTAACCAACTGAGCCACCCAGGCGCCCGCCCCAAACTAATTTTGAATACTGAACCACATTTACATTAATAAAAACAAAAACCAAACATAGGATTTGTTCTGAACAGTCAGATCTGAGCTGTAGTACTTAAGATTTTAATAGCGAACCAAAGTTATCATTAGCAAGGCTCATGTACCAAATACAACTTTTTTTTTCTTTTCTTTTCTTTTTTTTAAGATTTTATTTATCTGAGAGAGAGCGAGCAAGAGAGAGCATGAGCTGGGGGAGAGGCAGATGGAGAGGGAGAAACAGACTCCCAGCTGAGAAGGGAACCTAACGTGGGGCTCGATCCCAAGACCCTGGGATCAGGACCTGAGCTGAAGGCAGATGCTTAGCCTACTGAGCCACCCAGGCACCCACCAAATGCAACAACTTTCAAGGTATCTATCTACCTTTCAAAAGACGAAGACTGTACTGTTGAACTCTCAGGAAACCTGCCCCTCTCTCGGTGATCAAAGTCATTAAATCTGTTTTGCTGGCGAGAATAGTCAGATCCATGGCTGAATCGTGCATCTGTATCTAGAGACAACTTTTTATTCTCGCTCCAGTAAGGATCATCTCGCCTTGAAGAGAAATATTTGCTCATTTATATAAATTAGTTTTATAATACTCCAACAACACTTACTTGGAGTCATACATACCACATGCTAGGAACTGTGGATACAGAGGGCTAATAAACTCAAGACATCAAACATTCTGTTACAAGAACAAGCTAGCAAAGAATTAATTATCAGATTGCATAAAGTCATATAGTGTTAGAGGAATTTCACAGGAGAGGAAATAGTTGAAAAATGGTCTGTTTTAAAATTCGTAAATGGAAAAGACAGCTACCATTTTATAATAAAATTCTAACCAACAGTCCACAACCTTTTCAGTCACACTAACTTCGGAAAGGTTAGACAGGTAAGTCCCAAGCACAATTCACTCATTCCATGTATTTCTCAACACAATCAACTAAATCTCACAGAACTTATATTAAGAAAATTAAATGACTGCATTTGGGTATCTGTTAAGCAGCATGAACACAAACACACAATGCCCTCTTTCCAAGTCTGTCACTTCCAAGTTTATCTGCACTACCCTGTCAGATTTTTCAAAATGGGTCTGAGTTTGAGAACCATCATGGAAGCCTACTATGGTGATGTATTTCCGGTCATAATGGAAAAACATTTGGCAACAGGAAGGGAAAGGGAAAAAAGAGCAGACTCTGCCTACTTGACGATGCACTGGATCCACTCCAGTCCTGCAATCATTCCCATCCCTACTGGATCATGACCTTTGATTCCAGTGATGGTTGCCTGTACTTGCTAATCCTCCAATCAGTCTTAGTTTGAAAGGCATAAGATAGCAAGTGTTAACTGTTAAAGAAGAAAGCAGGCAACTACCTATGATCTACATCACGTGGGCGTTTCAAAGAATTCCTTTTCTCTTGTTCGTAACGAAGCTGCTGCTGTTGCCTTCTCAGCTCCTCTCGTTCTCGAGCAATACGTTCGGCTTCCTTACGGCGTTCCTTCAGACAACACAGAAGGAAGAACCAACCAATGCAAAATGAAAACACAAGGTAAGTACATGCGCAACCTTGTTTCATCCTGTCATTAAGAAACCACCATAGGCAAGCACCGGGCAAAACACATACCTGGGACAAATATATAAACAAAATTGACTTCAGAAATCAGTAAGCTAGGCTATGGCTATTGTTCTGCAACATTAAAAATAACAGAGATTGGGTGGTGGAAGTTGGCAGGTAATTGGGAAGGTCTGATTTAGTTTCATCATTTGACTGAAACAAAAGCACCTAAAGGGAATTAGATATAAAGTTCTTAATATGTCTGGAAACTAAAGTGCTTAAAACCCTGGATGCAGTTCTGCAAAGAGAGGCATTATTTCCTTCCAGCCTTGGGAAATCATTCCCACTCTACTATGTAAGGAAATAAGTTATTATTTGCTGAGACTGGGATAGTGACAGAGCCTGGATTACAACTACTCTGGACTCATAGTCCTATGCTCAGACTGTTAGGCTGCCATGATATTGCAGAGCTTGAGTTATTACCAATTGGCTAGAACAAAGTCACTACTAAATGTATTTTGAACTAGCACCTAAGTGATTGTTATCTTTCAGGGACACCTTAATAAATGCTCATTAGCTGAACTCATTCTACAGAAGCTTTACAACAAGTAAAGCAAATTTTAGGGCAAAAATCACAGGGTTTGAAAAAGGTCAGTTATTTAAGATGAAAAGATTTTCTGACTGCACCTGTTCAATACGAATGCGTTCCCTTTCCAAGCGTTCGCGTTCCATTCTCTCTCTCTCTAGTTTTTGCCTTTCAATTTCTAGGCGCTCTCTCTCTCTCTGTAAGCGTTCCCGTTCTTCCCGTTCACGAATTATTCTAATGCGTTCTCGCTCTCGACGCTCTCTTTCTGCAATCTCTCTTCGTCTAACAAAAATCAGTATTTAGAAATACTTAAATTATGCTAGCACTGTGTGAAAGAGAATAGCTTTTGAGTTTGAATTTTTCCTTGAGGTTGGCAATTTTAAACTTCAACTCAACCTAAGTAGTTTTAATGTAATTGGAAAGAGAACTCAAAATAAAACTTTAAACAGATTCCAATGCTGTCACTTATTTATTAAGACTGTCAACTGAGGAGCTGAATTTTATAAAGTAGTTGCCTCTTAGAGGATTCCTGTTTAAATAAAAATCCCATAATAATAGCCCATTAGTGAATCAACATTTTAAAAAGGAGATATTCTACATATATGAATTTCCAAAACTACAACTTCTACTGTTTTTGAGAGGAAAATTTCCAGTATCTAGTATATGGTCTACCTCCTTAAGCAAGGTATACCTTATTTTGATGACTTGGGGTCATACCCATCAACATGAATTATAGCAAATGCTACGTAAAATAAAATGTGGCCTTACTTTAAGGGCCTTTTTGGTGTTCACCGGCCCATGCTTCTTTGAGTCAGGACACAGTTCAAATGTTTGCTGAACTGAATGAAGTTACTGTATTGGGACTTTTAATCACGTTTTTGTCATCCCCTCACTCTAAGGCCCTTCGTGTACTCTATCACCATGTCTTCTTCTAGCAGCCCAGTGGTTCTCAGTGGCTCAGTGCTGCTCCCATGGAAATCTGAGGGCCATATTAAATTATCGCAATGACCATGGGGGCTGTTAGCAGCATTTAGTGAGTGGGGACTACGGATTCTAAATATCTTATGATGCATGGAATAATCAGGATAGTTCTGCACAACAAAAAACTGTCCAACACTTACACCTTTCAAATGCCATAATGGACATTCATGTCATTAAAACAAAACAAAATCACCTTAAAAAAAAATTGGAGCCTAGAATTTGACTCATTTTTAATAAATGCTAGGTCAGTTTGTTTGCTTTGGCATGGTTTTATATACACTAAAATTTCTAGAAATGCAACTCCATGTAAATTAGAGGAAAAATGATACTTTCTTAAGACCTTCACCAAGAGCTGTTCACCATTTCAGAAATCATGTAGTAATGTCAACACCACTCCTGGTATTTGACTTACCAAAATGACACACCAATATCAGTCTGCATTTGTAGCTGTCACATTTTCATTGAGTCTAAAGAGGGTTGTAAACATCTGACTACTTCATTAGGTCTTCTAGAGAGTCGTGCCTAAACATTCATATCTGGAATATATGCTTCATTATAATTTACTTTTATTTCTTCTTTATATTAGACTTAAGGCATTATATTGGTTTTTTGGAAATTATTTATATAGGCATATTATGCATTTGTAGGCCTATTATGCATCAATTACATTTCAGCAGAGTAAAGAGGATGCTGTGACTATATATATATACACACACATATATATATATATACACACACTTTATATATATATACCCTTTATATATATATATATAAAGGGGTGCTGGTCTGACAGACCTGAGAATCACTGCTCTGGGAGCTCCCACTCTCTCATCCTGATTTATCATCTACATAGGAATCTCAGTATATTGGGACTTCATCAAAAAGAGAAAAAAAAATGGGTTCTGAGTAATGCAAGGATTATTTCCTTCTAATAAAGTATGTGGCAATCATAGTACTATTTAAGTTGCCAAATGTGTCTGGTTGTTCCTAACACTCCTGTGAATGAATAGATGAAATCCCATGATAAAAGACCTCTCAATGAGATAGGTTAATATTTGGAAATTTATATTACAAAACACTTTCACAAGAATATTGTAAGTGGCATCAAAAAACTGACATAGGAAAGCAATGGTGGCATTCATGGTGAACTGCTGAGACACTGCCACTAAAAATAGAAAATGTTTTGTTTTAAAGAGAATGCTTGCTTCAAGATAGAGCTTGAACACAATAAGGTTCACAAGGCGAATCTTCCTTCACTTGGGCTCTAATCCAAAGTACAATCAATTTTTCCTAAAATGTCAACATGCTACTTGAACACTGTAGCTTACACTGATACTATCTTATCTCAACATCATTTTTTCCTTTAAAGTCATGTTTTTCATGGCGGCAGCTTTGGAGTAGAGGAAAGAGCATTGGACTTGGAGTCAGAAGACTTGGGTCTGAGTCCCGACTCTGCCACTCATTAGCCATGTGGCATTGGAAGAGTCATTTAGCCTCTCTGGGCCTCCGTTTTTTCAATTATATAATGGGCTCACCTAATCTTACAGAACAGTTGAGACAGAGATAACAGATGGAAATGTACTTTGTAAATTATAAAATGCTATGCAAACTTAAGAAATCATTAGGTTTTACTGCACTTGTTAAAAGTGGCCAATAGCTTTCTGTGGGAATACAATTTCCAGAAATCTGGTTTGTAACTAGCGTTAAAGATGTACCTATAGTTAAAGACAGGTATAAAATAGACTCTCTTCCTACCTTCGAAGTTCCATTGCTCGTCGCAATCTTTCAAAGCGAACTAAATGCTCTCTTAGTCTTTGTTCCTTCATCTTTTCAAAAGGCAAGATGTCTTTCCTTCTATAGTCTTTGTCCCTTTTTTTATCTAGGCTAGCTCTCTCCTTTTCCTTGCTTCTCCCATGAATCTACAGAAAAAAAAAAGGTTATAACAGGACTAGAAGTTAAAACAGTTCGGGGTTTTGGTTTTCAAGTTCAGCTGGTCATTTAAAAAGGTTAAATGAGTAATGACATTCTATTTTTCTTAGATTTTCAAGCACAGAAGTATGCAAAAAATGGTTACAGAGATACTAAATTATCTTATTTTAGAAACAGGGAGAATAGGATACAGCATCCGTCCAGAGACTTACTTTCTCGTATCTTCCTCTTCTTGATGGCCTACAATGATCTCCTTTAGTTTGGTCTAGTATTACCATATGTCCTGGACTCTTGGAACCTAAGAGAAAAAAAAAGTAGATAAACAAACGCCTAAAAAACATCTCATTAAAAAAGACAATCAATATAATGTAAAAATGCTGAATTCTTAGATAGCCAGATATTCAGAAACCAGTGCATGAAATAAAAAAACCTACTTATTCTATGAGAACTTAGTTGCACATAGTTTTTAAAAATAACTCAATCCACAAACATAAATACTTTCTGTGATACCAAAAGATCCCAACTCAGTTTACACAGCTACGAATCAATGGCCGTTTACAACCAGCCCAGGTCTTCCAGTAAAGGGGCTCAGCTGGAAGAACACCTTTGTTTCCCAAGAGTAGAAAAGACGACAACTAGTGCTACTGGACCTCCCTTTCTACCACAGTGACATCTAACAAAATTTAAATATTTATCCGGACTGTAATCTCAGGTTTTCCCTTCCACTGTAAAAATGAAGTTGTAGAAAGCATTAGAAAAGGGATCAAGAAGAAAGATACATATAGCATACTTATTCGCTTCTTTTCTTCACTTTTTTTAATCGAGTCTGAAGTTTGGCCACTTGATCCATTATCATTCTTCTCGTCTTTACCTTCTATTTTCTTAGTCTCCTTGCCTTCCTTTTTTTCACACTTCTCAGACGACCTTTTCTCTTCTTTTTTGACAGAGGCTTGTGTCCTGACCATACCACCCAAGAAAACAACAAAATGAGAACTACTTCATCAATTTCCCAAAAGTCTATGTGCTTATCAAAAAAATAAATCCTTACTTGCTACTTCTATCACTCATATTTTTTTTGTCTCCAGAACTTCTTGAACTACTCTTTTCATCATTTTCTTTCTTCAGTTCTTTCTTAGAAGGATCACCTTTAACCTGAAAGGTTTAGATAGGAAAACAAAACAAAAAAACAGTAAGTTACATTTATGATCATAACAACTATGTTGCTGGGACAAAATCTGGAAAACAGGAAGTAAAAAATCTGGAAAATCTGGAAGTAAAAAACTAAAAATAAATACTTAAAAATTATACCAAATTCTACTCCCTACTGGTATAACATCTTTAAATCAAGCATTACTGGCCCTCAAAGTAACCTCCCTCTTATATACAATTAGGCAAGCTTACTTTTTCCACAGAAATCAGCTGTCCATGCAGCTCAGTGCGATGAAGATGGGCAATACATCTAGACACCTCTGTGCTTGAAGACATGGTTACAATGCCATAGCACTTTGCCCCAGGACTTCGAGCATTTGTAACTACCTTTGCACTCAGAACCTATAACATAAGATAACACTTTACAAAGTTTTACAACTATATACATTTCTGAGTAAGTCAAACTTCACAAGTAAGACTATTCAAATAAAACGGTATGTTCAGGATACAGAAATTCATGATGAAGGATAAATTTAGGATATGTATTATTCTGTTTCATATTCTTGTGATCACTATCTACTTTGCTTGTAAGTACTTAGTAAATATTCAGGGGAACAATTTAAAGTGTCAAAAAGCAATTTAACCTACTTTTATTTATTTATTTATTTTTTAAGATTTAATTTATTTATTTGACAGAGAGAGACAAAGTGAGAGAAGGAACACCAGCAGGGGGAGTGGGAGAGGGAGAAGCAGGCCTCCCACTGAGCAGGTAACTCAATGCCGGGCTCGATCCCAGGACCCCGGGACCATGACCAGAGCCGAAGGCAGATGCCCAACAACTGAGCCACCCAGGTGCCCCTATTTTTTTCTTACTAATTTTTTCAAATATATAGCCAAAACACAGTCACATCAATGAAATAATGGCACAATTAATGAAAGCAAAGAAATAATATTCTCAATTAGATTTGGGCCAAACTTCCCCTACCATAAGTCCACCCTGACTCTCTTAGAGGGGAAAAAAAAAAAAAAGGTAACTTTCTAGAAAGTTTCTAAATGAGTGTTAACAATTTTCTATAACGAGTAACTACAAGAAATTTCAAAAAATGAATAAAGAATCATCCACATATAAAAAAGCAGTCTTTAAAACAAACCCTACAAAAATACACTCTAAAGAGACACACTTTGTTTTGTGCTTTTAAAATTTATACCAATATCAAAGTGACAAATAATTTCAATTCTATAAAATCGTTAAGAGAGACAAGGGATGGGTGAGTAAGAGGAAAAGTGAGAGAACAGTCTAGTGCTGAACAAAGAGAAAGACAGACATAATGCCATGAAAAGGTAAACAGGGAATTTAGGAGGCTGTGTGGTGTGAATGGCTGGAAACTATCAGCTTTTATCTCAACTCTGGGAAAGGCAGACTTGCCCCAACAGCAACTTGATTTTTAAGCCCAACGTCTTGTTACAACGGTGTCCTTTATATAGTTTTAGTCCCAGGAAATGCCAGCATTAAAATATTGGTTTTGGATCTCTAACAATAAATTACCAAGGCTAATCACGTGACTACAATTCTCAGTATTCTGTATCTGAAACCTACAAGAATCCTTAACACTCAGGCAACTCTCTATATTAGAAGGAAAAAAAAAAGACTCCTGAAATCAACAGGATAGATTTTTGTAACATTCATTACTGGTTATTTACCAATACTAGTCATTAATAAATATTCCAAAGCCTACTGTGTGCACACAAAGTACAGCAGATAAAGCCTCTGGTATCAAAGAGCTTACACTGGTGTAGATTATATACGATGTATTAATGAAAACCAAAAATATAAGGTAGAAAGTTGTGAGTGCCTTAAGGGATACAAATCGACTATAATTCAATTCAACAACTATTAACTGACTATTTAATTATTGACTATTCTTCTCTTCTATTAGGTCTTCCCCTTATATGCCAGGGATACCTTTCCCGATAAACCAACTATAGCAAACCCTCCCCTTTTTCTTTTCTTTTCTTTTTTTTTTTAAAGATTTTATTTATTTATTTGACAGAGAGAGAGATAGCGAGAGCAGGAACACAAGCAGGGGGAGTGGGAGAGGGAGAAGCTGGCTTCCCGCCGAGCAGGGAGCCCGATGTGGGACTCGATCCCAGGATCCTGGGATCATGACCTGAGCTGAAGGCAGACGCTTAACGACTGAGCCACCCAGGCGCCCCCCCTTTTTCCTTTCTTAGCAACTCTTTCCATCATAGCACATATCACAACTTCTGATTAAGTATATTTTTACCAGTTTTACATTTTTCTCCACTACTGTACGAGAATCTGTATGATGACAGGGACATCAGCTCCCACCCCACCCCCAAACTCTATGTCCCATCATCTAATACTAGTCTACCTATATTTTCCAAATGACCGGATCAGCCTCAGATACTCTAGTTTCTAGAAAAATCATGACAAATGTGAAAAACAAAACGCAGTCCTTGGCTGAAATGAGCTCAAAATACGAGCTTTTAATAAAAAGATCCCCAGGGCTCAGGGTGAGATTTTATGTTGAAACTCACCAATACCACAGAACTCAATAATTATGCCTATACCAGTCCTAAGAAAAACAAGAAATTGGAAGGTTTTATGTAATACCGTTTTGAATATAATCCCCATTTCTTTTTTTTTAATTTTTTTTTTTTTTTTAAGATTTTATTTATTTATCAGAGAGAGAGAGACAGAGGCAGGCAGAGGGAGAAGCAGGCTCCTTGCTCAGCAAGGAGCCCAATGTGGGACTCGATCCCAGGACCTGGGGATCATGACCTGAGCTGAAGGCAGACGCTTAACCGACTGAGCCACCCAGGCGCCCCAATATAATCCCCATTTCAAATGGAGATACTAGAAAGACAGATAAAAATTGTACCTTTCCATATTTGCCAAAGAGATTCTTCAAGTCAGCAGCTTTGGTATTAGAAGAAAGTCCACTAACCCAGATATTTTTAGTTGAGCTTCCACTGCTACCACTAGTACTACTTGTACTTCCTAGAATAGATTTAATATCAGACATTTTAGTGTCTTAATTGGAAATTTTATTTTTTAACAAAATTATTAGGTCCATACGATTTCAAAATTATAAAATCCTCTTTTAACTTAGTTAAGTTATGATAGTACAACCTTGCTGTATCCAAATCCTATGAATCTGCTATTATTAAAATCAAACACAATAGACAAAACAGCTAAGTAAGGAAACAAGTCTAAACATCTGTATACTTCCTACCGTGTGAGTTTAAAATCAAAATGGGTAAAACATCAACTACAGGTCTTGGACTTTCACTGTTAAGTTTAATCATTTATACTCTACCACTGCACAACCAGAAAGCAGTCATCAAAAAACATACAGACTGCTTAATTACCCTCATCTGTTCTGGGCTTTAGATCCTGAGAAATTGGGAGTGCAAGAGGGAACAGTCAAAGCAAGGGATAAACTATTTCCAAGAATTTAAACATTTAATAACAAAGACTAACCAACAGCTCATCTTCATTCTCTGGTAGAGAAAGAATAAAAAAGAAATTATATGCAGCTAGTTAACTCTGGATTTAATAAAAGACAATCTTCTAAGACAAATTAATTACATATTCAAAATCAGAAACCTCAAAATCCTTTAGAATAGGTAAATATAATGTTATATGAATCATTTTTGCACTAATTCCATCACAAATTATGGTTTCATACACAGAGATGCCATTTCTTAGAATACAGGCCTACTCAGTCACCCTCCAGGGTTTTTCCTCAAACGTGCTATTCTAAAAGGGGAGCCTTCATTCATTTGACTTTACTTGGAAAACAATTCTTACTCCACTTTAAGAAAAACAGTATGTAATAATTAAAAGTAACAATTTTTGTAACTTCAGGTGGAAAGAGTATGTGGAAAGAGTAAAAAGAGTAAAAATTTCAATGCTTTCGAATATTACATGCCACAAGTTTTAGTTGAAAAATTACTGTCAGTGTAGACTTATATGAGGAGACAACACCTACCCGACTCAAATATTTTAAATATTAATGGTTGCTGCATTTCTACTCTTAAAAAATACATTTATCAAAGGATCGATTTTATTTTATGAAATGCTAACAAGAAGCGCGTGTATCTTTTTTATATTACCAGTAACATTTGGGCCCAGGTACTTCTTTTACAAAAAAAAAAATTTTTAGCTAATAGAAAAAAGTTACCATTTAACCAAGCCCACCAAGTTTCTAAATTTAGGGTTAACACTTAATAAAGTTATTGTATTTTGTCCATTAACCAAAACTGTAAGGCATCTAAGTATTGCAATTAATTGTCAATTAGTAAGTCAATCACTAAGATTTCCAGCTACAAAACGTACCAACAAAATAACACTAAATGCACCACAATACAGATTAACATTCCCTGAAGAGGCATTTTAGGACTCTGCAGTACCTGGTGTTATTTTTCCCTTAAAATGCTTTCTTTTAGAAAACAAGAAATGTTTTCAAGTAGATGGCATATGTACAACAGGAGACGATAGCGCACAGCCATGAGATAACCAGACATCCCAACATCAAATATTGCATCTTTAAGCTTACAAGAATTTCAAATAAAACTAATTTCCAACACAAGACTCCCAGTAACCCAAAATAAGTCAAATTAAGAAGTCTTCAAGAATCAAACTCCTATATATTGGCTACGTTACTAGAAGTGTGCCCTGGTTTAAACAATGAAAGAAGTAAAACCAAATGTTAGAGACTGATTTTCTTTTAAATGCTAGACTCCACAAATAGAGGCAATTACTATTTACAGTACATTTCCTACTAGACAAGAACAGGGGAAAAGTTGTGCTGGTGCATAAGGGTTACAAATGACTATAATTAAAGATAAAATACTTCTAAAATTATAATGTAAGAAAATGAAATATCCATTGTATTAACACTCAATACAGTTGCGTAGAACACAATGGGAAAAACACATACTTTTAGCATACTCAAACCAGTTTACAAATTAAGTAATTAAAGCATAACGCTTCAATCACACCCAGAGTTTGTAGAAATCTGTTTAACTCAATAGTCTACACTGAGGCCCACCCAACATTTTTAGTATGTCAATTTTTAATGACTAAAGGTCAAAGGAAACCCCAGACGATTATTACTTTCTAACGAAAGTACGCCATTTACCACTGAAACAAACAGGAAAAAAAATTCATTACCTTTGTCATCTTTGGATGATGTCTTGCTCTCCTTAGATTCCTTTGAAGAGCTAAAGAAGCAAATCACCAGAAGAAAATTGAAAACAAAAAAAAAAAAAAGAAAACAAAAATCGAACAGCTTGATATTGACCATATTTCACACTAGTACTATTCGTACAAATTAACAATTCCAAAGGCCTAGATTAGGTTATTTGAGCAAATGATTCCCTTAGGATTCTTGCACTGATTTTCCCCAAGATGCCTGAAGAGCTAGATTTTCTGACAATTCTATTCAGTGGATATATGGCCATCTTCTCCAGATTTGAGGACTGGGACTTGACTTCACTTTGTGTTCTTAGGACTGATAGTTGTTCATTAACCATCATCACAAGGATTTTTAAAAATAAAACACAAAAAAATTGTCAATTTGAAAAAAAAAACCAAAAAACAAAAAACAACCAAAAAAAAAAAAAAACCAAATATATGCTGACAATGCGACAATGCAATCAGTAGGACACACTGCATATTACGAAGATCTTGAAATTTTTTTAAAAGTAACTTATGACGGTCAAAAATATTATAGGCAGGATCATAAGTACTAATTACTGTACATGGTCTTGAAGCCACCCCCTTAATGTAGAGTGATCTTATTGAATGCTGGAATTCAGTATCGTAAAGAACTGACATAGAAAAACAAACCTCTTTGCTTGACCAGAGGCCCCAGTAGACGAGGGCCCTTTCTTCAAAGTATCCTTTTCTTTGTCTCCAGATTCTGCTTTCTTAGAACTTTCTCTGGCTTCCTTCTCGACAGGATCACCCTTCACGCAGTCTTCCTTCTTACCATCTTTATGGTTCGCATTCATCTCATAATCCTTGCTTTCCTTCTCCGGGCTCTGTGCAATGGCGTCCTGCCCATCTTTTGGCTTACTTGCTTCAGAATCTGTAATTTTCACATTTTTACCTGTTTCTAGGAGGTCATCACCATCAAAATCCAGAGTGATGGCATCTTCAGCCTGGATTGTGACCGAGATGTTGTCATCCTCAGCTTCTTTCACAGGTGCATTAGCTTCCATCTCTTCGTGAGCTGTGTGATCAGCCTCAGCTAGGTTCCCTTCTGAAGGAAGAGGTTTAGATACTTCTTGTGTACCATCACCAGAACCTGCTATATCTAAGAGGATTTAACAGGAATAAATATGGCAAAACAAGAAGTTTAAACAATTTCATATTCATAAGCTAGAATAGGACCTAGAAAATATAAAGCCAGTTATTAGCACTGATGGAAGGTTAGGGGAAAAAAAAACACAAGGGTATTAACTAACATTAACAATCCTTTACCCAGGATCACTTATTCTTCATGGAAAAAATGATCTCTACATACAAATACCAAACAACAAAAGTGAGGAAGTGGTTCCATCCTGAGGATACCAGCTCTTCGTTTGTGGTTATAAGTTAATGGCAAACGGAAGATTTTGTTTCCCTCGATGAGATAGTGACAGATGTGCAGATTTGTTATTCAATGTTCAAATCATCTTGGGTTTAACCCTTGTGACCTTCGGAACTCCCATGGTGACGTCTTGAAAGGTCACAGTCTGAGGATATCAATCAGTCTTCAAAGTTTTTCAGGGCCCCATCCTTTTCACTCTTCTGATTCAATTCTTGGGTAGTCCAGAATCGTATGGAAAACTGCTACAGAAGGCTCCAAAGATGTCCTGCTCCATAATGTTCAGGAAATTGGTTATTTCCAGTCTTCATCCTGTCCAGCCAGTCCCGAAATTACCATTTTCGAAGATGTCTTGCATTTCCCCAAAATGGAAAGGCTTCGGGCATGTGAGATTTTCAGTCAGTAGCTTTACTTCGTCATCGCTTTTGGGCTTTTTATTCTGCCTTGCTTAGAACCCTGCTCCATGTCCTTTCTAGTCCAAAGGAGGATCCTTTGACTTCCATCCAAGAACTCTTCCATAACCTCGTACTGATCAATGCATTACTACTGATGTCCCTGTAATTGTATTGAATGAGACAGTTCTCCTAAACTATGAAAACTGTCGGAAGACTGAAAGTTTCTCTACGCAGCAAACAAAAAGTCAGTCTCCCGGTCACCCATTTTTAGGACTGGTTGTACAATTAATTATCTGTTACACTCTAGGACCCCAATAAGCACGTATGAGTTACTGCAGTGCCAGTCTTAAAGGACATTATCGACTTACCGTATGCTAGAAGTTATTTTAAAACATAAAATTAAAATTGGGTTAAATAATATATGGCAATGTCCACTACAGTAACTGATATGTACCATTAAGTTAGAACATAGCTTAAATGTTAAAAAGAAAATTAAAACCAATTGAAAAATAAAATCAAGATGCTAACTTAATTCACTAAATTGATAAATTTGAAAATAAACTCATTTCAAAAATAAGATTTCAAATAAGGAATGTTTTATTTTCACATAATTTACTATTTTTCTAAATGTCAGCAATTTTTAAACTCTACTTGGCATCAAACATACCTTTCTCATTTTCTTCTTCCTCACCATCCTGAAATTCAAAGAATAATCAAATGTAAAATGAATTCACTTAAAACTAGATTTTAGTAATAGCACAAAAGCAGTGAGGTTAAACTGGTATATAATTTAATAATATTAATTAGGGACACCTATCACTAACAAATATAGGCTATTCCGATCAGAACCAGAGCCCATTTAGAGAAATGTGGCACATTATCTGGTGGATGTGGTCTCAGACAAAACAGGTAAATCTATCAGTAATTAGATCAACAATCAAATGGATTAGTTTCAGTATTCAAAACTAGTTTATAGAATCTGAATCCTACTCACATCAAAGAGTTGCCAAAAGACTGACCTCATTATCTTATGTGACTCAGTTCAAAAGCACTTTTAGGGCGTGCTATTCAAAACAGTATGAGAAAGTATACTGTGAAGACATACACTTTCAAGGGCTTAAATGCACATTAATAAAACAAACAAACAAAAACCCTTTCTAGGCATCTCAGAAGAGGAGTGACTACAAGAGTAGTTATTTTCAAATTATTCATCCCTTCTTTCTGTTGAAAATGAATTCACAGTGGTCACATATACCCTAGTGGTCAGACACTTTAAAAATGGTATTTGCACTACAGGTAATCAAAATAGTAACTCACACTGTTTTAAAAATATGACTGATTTTAATTTTAATATATGATCTCTTTGCTTAATCTAAAATTAAGCATGTGCTAGCCTGAAAACAGGAATACTGCAAAGGGATTTTCCCTTTTTCTCTACCCAGCAAATACTGCAAAAAACCCCTGAAGGTAGTCAAAGTCACACCAAGAAAAAACCAACATTTTCCCCAAATTAAAGATCAGAATAAGCAAATATTCATTTAATCTTGGGAAAGGAAAAAAAAGTTAAGGGATGTTTTAATTTATAACTTTTAAAATAAAAGCTGAGTCGAAGTAGATCATTTTCAGTCAAGGTGGTATGAAGCTACCACATAAAAAGCCTTAGAGTAGTGGGTCTCAAACTTTGAGTCTGTATCAGAATCCCCTGGAAGGCTTGTTAAAACAGTTTGCTGAGCACCAACCCAGAGTTTCTAATTCAGGTCTGGAGGCAGGACTTGAGAATCTGCATCTCTAACAAGTTTCCAGGTGATGCTGATGCTGTTGGTCCAAGGACTACATTTTAAGAACTACTGCCTTAGAGTGACAGCCTAGTAGTGAAAGAAGACTTTAAAAATTGAACTGTAAACAAAAGTTTAAATGGTGTATTTATCTTTAACATAATTTTAGATTCCAAAAAAGCATGCATTCCTTAAAAATGTCAAATATTTTACCGTATGCTCAAAATTACATCTGATAACCACCATTATTTCTAAGACATCATTTTAAAGGATTTTTCGACTTTAAGCTAACATGTAAGTGCCCCCAAATTATGGAATGCCCAATTGCTTTACACACTAAACATGAAGGAAACTAAAAACACTGAAACAACTAAACCACAAGCTTAGGAAGTAAGAGTCCAAAAACAAGTAGATTACTGATTGATAGCAAAGTGAATCGTATTATCACGTAAGTCCATTATATTATGCTCTAATAACCTCTTTATTGTCGTTCTGTTGAACCAGAATTTAGTTTTAGTCATTGTTTCTAATCTGCAACATCTGGAAAGGAAAGAAAAATGCTTTCACTTGGGTGGAGTGACAGGCAATGGCAGCAAAGAAAGGATGAACTGTCGATTTATCTTTTTCTTCCAAATTCTTTTAGTCCAGTAATTTGTTGTGGGGGGATAAACAAACTGGAATATCTTAACTTTTACTCAGGAGAACAAATGAACTTAAAGAATGCAACTTGCCGTTTCTTTATCTACCAACAGCACACCACTTCCCAGTTATTCTCTTAGAGTTGCCATATTGACAGGTTCAAAAAAAAAAATGGCCAAATTATCTCCTGTTTTAAAAAGTAAAAAAATTTAAAAACTGTAATGTAAAAAACAAAATCCTTTCTGCTGTAATTCTACCAATTAGAAATGTTATTTCTTGCTGCTAAAATAACTGGTAAGGTTTGCCTTACTTTGCTTAAGAGCTTTTAGATATTTACCCTAATTACTCAACATGTCTTCTGAAAAGGACTCATAACATTAGTTTCTCAAATTAGAGGTAACACTAGCTTTACTACATATACTTAAATGCCCCTAGAAGAGTCTGACCCGGCTTTTAGAAAATAAAACCGACTACAGTTGGGGGTGAAGCACAGAAACCACTAGGGTTAGTAGGAAAGACGAGCCACAGTTCAGTGCAGACTTTGCTGTGCAGTATGTGCAGTAAACAAAGCACTACTAAAGTCAAACCTTTGGCCCTACGTAAGCCTAAAAGCCCTCATAAAAAGGAAACAAAACAAGAAATACAAGAAAGACAATGGGAAATTTTTCCTGTCTAAATGATACAAATGATATGCACCTTATCTGAAAATAATTTTCCTCCACTGAAAACAGGTT